ATGTTTCAACAAGGTTATTTCCCTGTTTTGGAAACAAAATTATTTCACAATTTCCATTTCATGGTAAAATTTGAAATTTCAACATTTGGTTCTGATTTGGGAAATTATGAAATGTCAGGAATTCCCAGTGGAATGGAAATTCCATGTTTCAACCAGCTCTATTCATACCTACAGGCCCCACCGCCTTCCACTGGAACTTCATCTTTAGCTTGTGCTGGAAGGAAGGGACCGGATGTGATGGGCCACTGATCCTGTATTGCACAGCCTATATCCCTAATGCAACAGCTGCATTCTTAAATTAAACCATTTCGCAACACCGTCTTCCAGCACCTCAGGAATATTGCATCATTTTGATATGAAAATAGAAGGGGTAGCTCAAGACATGCTGAGCTAAGGTCTGTATGCCTACCGGGAGACTAGGACCAATTCTCCCTCTGTCTAAAACAGGGATGGGCAAACTTTTTGGCCCGAGGGCAACATCTGGGTATGGAAATTGTATGGGGGGCCGTGAATGCTCAAGAAATTGGAGTTGGAGTGCGGGAGGGGGTGAGGGCTCCAGCTGGGGGTGCAGGCTCTGGGGTGGGGCTGGGGATGAGGGGCTTGGGGTGCAGGAGGGTGCTCCAGGGGATGAGGGGTTTGGAGGGCAGCAGGGGAGATCAGAGCTGGGGCAGGGGGTTGGGGCGCAGGGGGATGGCTCAGGGGTGCAAGCTCCTGGAGGCGCTTACCTCAAGCAGCTTCCAGAAGCAGCGGCATGTCCCCCCGCCAGCTCCTACGCAGAGGTACGGCCAGGCAGCTCTGCTGCACGCTGTCCCGTCCATAGGTGCCGCCCCTGCAGCTCCCATTGGCAGCAGTTCCTGGCCAATGGGAGCTGCGGGGGCAGCGTGTAGAGCAGAGCCCCCTGGCTGCTCCTACCCGTAGGAGCCAAAGAGGGGACATGCCACTGCTTCCGGGAGCTGCGCAGAGTGGCCCCCGACTCTGCTCCCCAGCTGGAGTGCCAGAGCAGGGCAAGCCCCAGACCCCGCTCCCCAGCAGGAACTCAAGGACCCAATTAAACCCAGCTCTCCTGAGTCCCAGCTCAGTGCCTTAACCGCAAGAACATCCGCTCCTCTTCCACAATCAACAGGAAGTTATGAATGGTGACCCATCTGGCCCCGTCCCTACATGTCTGAGTAACTGGCCTTCGCTGCCTCAATAAATCTTTGTGCTCTCAGCTGCATAGGGGTTGGTATGGCAGGAAGAGATCATTTTGGGGGTTCGGATACATCACTTTCCTTTTATAACCTCTCACAGAGGGGAAAGCTCCATGAAAGAGAAACCAGAGAGGGGATTATTAGAGGCATCTCTGTCCGCTCAGCAGCAGGATTCTCACTAGCCTCCCCTTACCATGAAGTTGCAATTCTATGGACTTTGTCAGCTGATCTCCAACTCTGCACTCCAGTCCTGAAATCTCTCCTAGTAAAATCCTTGGCAAGCATACTGCAGCCCAAGCCCCTTCTCCAGGGAGAAATCTCACAGCTCTGCTTTCACCAGAATCCTCCGGGGAGGCACATTTCAACCCCAGCGATGTGCTATTGCTGATCACAGCGCCAACCACCAGCCAATAATCCCGGGCGCTCTGTCCCTCAGCATTTCTGACGACAGAGCTTAGCTTTCCAGATCATTCGTCAGCTGATACCAATTTGCCTGCTCATTGAGCCAGTTTTGCTTCTCCTCCGGAATCCCAAGTCAATCTCCCATGGATATTTAAACAGAGAAGAAGACAGACAATTTCCAAAAAGGTCGAGGGCGCGAGAATCAGCTCTGGAATGTCTCCCAAAGGGGGAACTCAAACAACTTGACTGAAATCACATCAGGGCAGCAATCAGCCCTGCATTTCCCATGCAAATAGCTCAGCAGGGCTTCCACTGGGCTCCATGAGTGGAACTAGGAGTTTGGGGGGTGCTGCAGCACCCCCTGGCTTGGAGTGGTTTCCATTATATACAGGGGATACAGTTTGGTTCAATGGTTCTCAGCACCCCCACTACACACATTGCTCCAGCACCCCTGAGTGGAGCAGCATGAGACAGTCCAGATCTAGAAAGTCTGCGCTTGCCCCAGAACCAGTCCCACCTCCCTTGCTAAGTAGGAAAGTTGTCTGGACAGAGGAGGATCGGTGCCACACCCTGGCATAGCATGGAGTCCTTTGCAACACAGCATAGATTGGTTTTCTATTTCTGCAAGCAGGAGGGAGAGAGGAAGAGAAGCAAAGAGATGAAAAGAGAGAGGAACGAAAGAGAGGGTGAGGAGATTAAAGCTTCCTGCCTTTAGCACCTTCCATTGCAACTCAAGCTTTTCCTCATCGAACTGGTGAGGGGAGCAGAAAGAACTCCACTTTCTGCCTGGACGTGGCATGGATCCTGGTGACTCACCAGTCCAAGGCTAGCCCCGTTCTTCCCACACCAGGGCTGCACACTGGAAGCAAAAAACGAAGCAACCAGGAGTGTGTGTGGAGGGGTGGCGGGCAGCCTAAAAACAGCCAGCACCCCGCCCCTTCCAGCTCCCCACTCCCACCCAGCAGCAATTTACGCCCACACGGAGGCTGCTCTGTCTCTCCCCCGTAGCTATCAGGGACCAGGATTGCACTCCAAGGTGACTGCTCACGCTGATTCTCCATCCCTTCCCCGACCCGCCCGTGTTTTGTTCCCGTTAATTATTGCCTAAATGTAGCCATTAGGAGCAGGGTCGAGGAAGGGAAAGAAGCCCCATTTTCCCTGAGTGACATGGATTTCAATTGCCACCGCTTCATGGGTGCAGGCAGGGAGAGCCAGGCCTGTAATTTATTGACAATTTCTATCTTAATACGGCTTGACTTTTAAAAGGCGGCATCTTGGCGGCGCTTCTCTGTGGCGCACGGCAATCGGAGCCAGGGTTGTTGCTGACAATATCTGGGAGGCACATTACTTTTCAGGGTGAAATGGCAAGAGAGAGAGAGAGACCGAGAGCAAAAAAAAAGAAGAAGAAGAGAGGAAGGGAAACCAGCTGTGTAAAGATCCACATTGTAAAGTGCTGCCTGTAACGCACCAGTGCTATTAGGCGGCCACGCTAAATGTGCTGAACAAGCATTTGGGGACGGGGGGGTGATGTTAAGAGCCACCCAGAGACGGCGCCACTCCAAGCTGACCTTTCCCAGCTCCCGTGTATAAACTTCTTCAATAAAGAAAGAGACACTTCACTCCTGCTTCCGCAGAGCCGAGGAGGGGGCCGGAGAAGGCTCCTGCAGGGAATAGGGCAGTTTGGAGAGGGGGTGGTGGAGGGGTTGGGAGAAACATCTACGGTTGTGCACGTGTGTGTGAGAGAGACTGAGTGTGACTATGAGAAAGACATGGGTACATGAAAACCAGCATGTGTATGTGTATGTGTGTGTGTGTGTGTGTGTGTGTGTGTGTGTGTAGGGAGGTGACTGTGTGTGTGTGTGTGTACACATGTGCTGAGGTGACACAGAGTGTGCATACACACAGAGGAGTGTCATTGTCACTGGCAATCTGGTGTGTATGTGATGAGTTCCAGATTGGCCCCGTGTGCCAGTGACAGAGAATGTCACTGTCAGTGAGCGTGTGTTTGTGTAAAGTGTGTAATGATGCAAGTGCTCCCCTGTGAGTGCCAGGACAAGGATCCCACTTTAATCAGTTTGTTGTTTCCAGGCTCTTTTTACAGAAAGAAGACTGATTCTCCAAGGTTGCCAGGTGACTCTGTTGCACAAGGAAACCTCCCCATCCCCCGTAGTGGTGTTAAAAACCAACCTACAGCAACAAAATACCCTGGGAGAGGATTGTGATGCTGGAAGGTGTTAATGGCTGCCATCAATCACAGACCTGGATAAAGTCAATAGGTGCACTAAGCACCCTTCTTTCAGGCTTAATGGAAAGAGTGATTATGCCTGTTCATGTAATGAGAGCTGGAAAGAATAAGAAGCTATTGCCCAAGGCACTGGGCCGTCTGGCAAAACCTGAGCAGAGTTAAGCAGTGTGGTCCCTGGGATTTCCAGGGGATTGGTTGCAAATACAGGGTCTAGGGGATTGCTTGGCAAGCTGTGAATGTGTGTGCGTGAGAAGCAGAAAGCGAGAGATGCAGGGGTGAGCGTGGCTCTGGGAGGAGGTTGAGAGATGGGGCTTCTTTTCGGTGCAGAACTTGCTGGAGAGGCAGACTTGGATTTCTGAGCAAGGAAACTGCCTGCTGTTGTTTGTTCCTACTGTGTTTGGGGAAACAGGACTTTGTGTGCGTTCTTGGTAAACACACAGGATGCACCAAAGAAACACCTCCCTCTAGCATCAGTTTCTCCTCCGAAGGGAAACAACTCTGAAGAGAGGCTACCCATTGGGGTCAAAGAGGTGGCAGGGCTTTGGGAGGGGCACAGTGGATGAGGGAGGAGTTCCCAGAAAGCTGGGAAGCATGTGGGCCACGGAGGAGAGAGCAAAGTCCATTTCCAGTCCACAACACTTTGGCAAGTACATGACAATCGACTCTGCATTGCTCAGTGCTCCTTTAAGCTCCCGAGTCCTCCGCTGTATCTCCGGGGGCTCCATTGGGCTGGAGAACAGGTTGCTCATTCCTGAGGCAGAATTCGCACCTGTGGCATTCGGTGCAGCCAGCAGGGCTGGGGTGGGGGCATTTCCCCAGCAGCCCCCACCCCTCCCCACAGTTCAGACCATTCTACCAGACGTGTTGACTTTCCACAGGACCCTCGGGGCATCTCTCCAGCTAAGGCCAGAGCAGTCTGCTCCCACAGAGCAAGGCAAGAGAGAGAGCGAAGACAAAGGCGGGACAAGGAGGCGAGAGAGAAAGGAGGAGGAGGAGGAGAGAAAAGGAAAGAGAGACAGACAGACACACAGTTCCACTGCCCAAAAAGGCAACAGAGATTCCCTTACCCGCCACCATGGACAAAGAACAAGTAACTCCCAGCCAGGGCACCCTCGACAACACACCATCTCTCTAGAGCACTGGTCACCCGGTGGCATACCTACCACACAGCCCGTGGAGTCCACTTTGCGGTCTGACACACACTTGAAGTTACGGGTGCAGCCACCGTTGTTGCGTGAGCAGTCTCGGACTGGCCCAAAGGAAGAGAGCAGGTCATTGATGGTTTCGAAGTAGGTGGACAACATCGCTTCTTCCCTTGGAGAGAAAAGGCACTGTTAGAACTGGCGACCGAGCAGACCCTACGGGTGGCCAAAGGGGAATAACTAGATGGAACGTTTTACATGAAATATTTATGTGAAATATGCTCTGTCTTTGAAGCTAAACTGTTTCATTGGCCGAGTTACAGACCTCTGTAAAGGGATGAATTCCACCCAATGGACATAATTCCTACCCACCACACGGGGCTTCTGCTTCCAATGCTACAGTGAGTGGCTGGGTTGTTTGCAGTGTCCAGTAACCCATTTTAGGGGGAAGACAAGAGGGTGGGATTCAGGGGCAGCTCTATGTATTTTGCCGCCCCAAGCACGGCAGTCAGGAGGCTTTCAGCGGCATGCCTGCGGGAGGTCAGCTGGTAACGCGGATTTGGCGGCATGCCTGCAGGAGGTCTACCGGTCCCGCGCCTTCGGCGTACCCGCCGCCATACTGCCCCCGAAACTGCCTCCACCTCCTATCTGCCCCCCCCCCCGCACCCCGCCCCCTCCAACCCCCCCCTGTCCCCTGACGCGCCCCCCCAGGATCCCTGCCCCATCCATACCTCCCTGCTCCCTGTCTCCTGACCGCCCCCGGACCCTCGCCGCCCCATCCAACCCCTCCTCTCATTCCTGACGGCCCCTCCGGGACCCCTACCCCATCCAACCACCCCTTCTCTCTGACCCCTGACTGCCTCCGGAACCCCTGCCCCTGACTGTCCCCTGCTGCCCCATCCAAACCCCTCCTTCCTGGCTGCCCTCCTGGGACCCCTGCCCCCATTCAACCCCCCTGCTCCCTGTCCCCTTACCATGCTGCCTGGAGCACCTGTGGCTGGCGGCGCTACAGCTGCGCCGCCCAGCTGGAGCCGGGCCACGCCACTGCCGCCACCACGCAGCACAGAACACAGGGTCAGGCCACGGCTCTGCAGCTGCGCTGCCCCAGGAGCTCACAGCCCCGCCACCCAGAGCATTGCGCCAGCGGCGGAGCTAGCGAGCAAGCTGAGGCTGCGGGGGAACAGCGAGGGAGGGGCCGGGGGCGAGCCTCCCGGGCCAGGGGCTCAGGGGCCGGGCAGGACAGTCCCGTGGGCCATAGTTTGCCCACCTCTGTCTTAGAGCCACATGCACAGTCCATTTTGCAGGTAGCAAAGAATTCAGGACTACATGTGTTCTTCCCATTCGATTCCTGTCAGAGGGGGTTGGGATCTTTGTTGAGAGCACTAAGCACTTACAGAGTGTTTTTCTTCAAAGTGCTCTCCAAATATTAACTCATCCCCGTAACACCTAGGGGAAGTAGATATGCTCACGCTGTTTTACTGATGGGACACTAAGGTAAAGGGAGGTGAAGTGACTTGCTCTAGGTCACAGAATCACTCCCTCTGTTATTTCCTGCCCATGTTTCTTACGTCTCTTGGGTCTCTTTGTATTAGGGCTGGTCTATACTGGGTACTGAATCAGCAAAGCTATGTCCCTCAGGGTTATGAAAGTCACACCCCTACGAGACAAGGCCATGGTGACCTTACCCCCAGTCTAGAGAGCGCTGGGTCGACGGAAGAATTTTTCTCCTGACATAGCTATTGCCTCTCGGGGAGAACCCCTCCTGTTGCTGTTGTGAGGCCAGGTCTACACTAGGAAATCAGGTCAGTATAACTAGATCACCCAGGGGTGTGAAAAATCGACACCTCTGAGCGATGCAGTTAAACCAACCTAATCCCTGGTGCAGACAGCACTCGGTCGATGGGAGAATCTAGCTACCACCACCGAGAGAAGCCCTCCCATCGGTGTAGGCAGCATCTTCACTGAAGCCCTACGGCTGCACCATTTTAAATGTAGACAAGCCCTGAGTGTCTACACTGTAGCGTTTTCAGTGTAGACAGAGCACTAGGGTTTACAACTCCTCTCACGGCTGTGTCTGGGGCTAGGTCTACACTACAGCGGGGTTCCAACCTAAGATACGCAACTTCAGCTACGTGAATACCGTAGCTGAAGTTGCGTATTTTAGGTCGGCTTACCTGGTGGTGAGGACGGGGGAAAGCCGACCGCTGCCGCGCTGCCGCCGACTCCGCTGCCGCCTCTTGTCGAGGTGGATTTCCGGAGTCGACGGCAGAGCGATCAGGGATCGATTTTACCGCGTCCTCACGAGACGCGGTAAGTCGATCCCCGATAAACCGATTGCTACCCGCCGGATCGGCGGGTAGTGAAGACGTAGCCTTGGTGTAGGGGGAGAAAGAGGATGAGACGTCTCACAGCTCCAGTGCAGCTGGGATTCCAGGGTCAGATCCTCGGCAGGTGTCAATCACCGTAGCCCCAATAACTGGAGGCGGAACGGGTGTGCAAAGCCGAGATGGCCCTTCTATCGTGTTGTGCTTGCACCAGAGCGATGAGGATGGAGGGCAAGCTGGGAGTTGGGGAGGGGGATCAATTCTCTCTTTTAATTAAATCTAGAAACACCAAATGAAAGAGGCTTTTGTGCCTCTTGTACGGCCGGTGATTTCTGCTGGCAGCGATTACGGGAGAGGGGAGGGGAACCGCGCTCTCTGAAATTATGCCTAGTGTAATGGATCATCGCTGACAAAACAGGGGCAGTGGCTGATGAGCCTGAATGAGCCATTACATGTATTAAAATATTAACCTCCTCGGAAGCAGGGGCGGGAGGCAGAGAGATGGAGGGAAGCGTTTAAATGTCACCTCTGAGACGAGTGGGGTGACAGCACCTTCTCCAGACAGAGAGGCTGTTTGGCTCCGGACGGATTGATTCTTCATAAACGTTTGTTACGTTGGCGTAACATTGCTACAACACGAAGGCCTGACAGGAGGAAATGTCACACCCAGGAAAGGACGGGCGGCAAGCTCAGAGGGAGCTGGGAGCAAACTTTGCTTTTGCTGCATCTGAGCGGGGCTGCTCATCTCTCTGGAGCCAGACTCTGCGCTCCACAGACAAGGACACACTCAGCTTTCCTTTTGTAATGTTGGGGTGGATTTCAGCGCCGCAATATTTAATTAAACAGCTCACACAACAAGACAGGGTCAGACGGTGTCGCAGGCAGCGGGTGATTTTCTACACAGAGAGCTCTGCCTCTGCACATCAGTCCTGAGCTGCATCCCCCTGCTATTCCAGTCCTAGGACCCCCACCCAGCTCTGCCAATGCCTTCAATCCCGACCTGCAGCCCCCCTGTTATTCCAGTCCTAGGACCCCCACCCAGCTCTGCCAATGCCTTCAATCCTGACCTGCAGCCTCCCTGTTATTCCAGTCCTAGGACCTCCCACCCAGATATACCAATGCCCCTCAATCCCAACCTGCAGCCCCCTGATATGCCAGTCCTAGGACCCCCACCCAGCTCTGCCAATGCCCCTCAATCCCAACCTGCAGCCCCCTGATATGCCAGTCCTAAGACCCCCACCCAGATCTTCCAATGTTTCCTTAGCCTCGCTCTACAGCACCTCCTGCTGTTCCAGATCGGGGCCTTGCACAACCTTTGCCAATTCACCTTCTTTCTGCCCTAATGCCCCACCATTATCCCAGTCCTTGGTTGCTCCAATGGTTCTGCAAACATACCCCATTGCTGACCCACAGCACCCCCTGCTGTTGTAAGGCCAGACTTTTTCACAGTTCTGTCAATGCACCTGCAGCCTTTGTCACCAAATGCTTAATCTGGCTGAGCCCCACTGCCCAGCCTTCCCCCCACAATCACACTCGTCCATGCGTCTCTGCACTGACCTGAGAGTCTGTTACTAGGCGTGTCCCAAACAGATACTGCACAGTGCATATTGGGAGATGGAAAAGCCCTTGACTAGGCCCTTGACTGACACCACCAGCCCCATTTCTTCTGTGGGTCATTAGATGGGGCCCCAGACTCGGAATCCTTAATCTTATTCCTGGCTCTAACCCAGACTCACTGAGTGACCTTGGGCAAGTCAATTAAACTCTCTGAGCCCCAGTCAATCATAAAGGGAGGGTGGTGGCTAACGGTGCTCACCCACCGTGGAGAGCAGCAGGTAAAAAGCCACTATCTAAATGCTAAGCATGCCGGGGAGGTGAGAAGCTAGTGCTCTGACATGCTGTACCATTCAACCTCTTCATCAAAATTTCACTGACCCCCACCAACTATGCTGTTAGGTCTAGGAACAGTGTGAACGTTAAATGTCAGTGGTAATGCACCAAAGGGTATTAACTAAAAGACACATCCAACCGGTTGCTATATGGGCAATTCAACAAGACGTCTCCTGTCTGACTGAGGTTTAGATCAAAAGCTTCTTTCTCCCGCTCCCGGCCTATGGCTGGTTTCTGGAGAACTGACACCTCGCCCAGAACTCATTTCACCCTGTCAGTCTGAGCCAGATGCTTGGATTTACACTGGAAATAACTACAGATAACAGATTCTGACATGTCCCATTGCTAAGACATGCCCTTTGAGGTCTGTGTCACTCAGGGAGAGATGCTAATGCTCAAGTCAAGATGGAGAGCAAGAGCTGTGCCTGATCTGGAGTGTTTAGCAGCATGGGCAGAGAGGGGAGGGAACAGCCCCTCTCTGAGCACCTGGAGAGGAAATGCATCTTCTAAATCAGGAAGGTTTCAGCAAGAACCTTTTCTCCTTCCCAAAGACAGGCACTGCAGCACCCCCTGAGCCAGAGGCACATTTATTTCTGCACGAACACCTGAAATCCAGGCGACCTGGTCACCTTGACCAAGGGGGGCTGGGTTTTTCATCCAGGAGAGCTTATGCAGCCACTGCAAACTGAATCTCTGACTGCTGCGCTTCATGCCACCATGCTGTCCAAGCATATGCACTGATCCTTATGCCTGTCTGCTTCCAGCACTTATGGTTCTATGCTCCCAAGAGAACAAAACACATCTGTTCCCGTACAGCTCTGTGTTTGTCCCTTTGTTAACCACGTCACTGCTGGCCTCTCCCCCCCGACTGCTGGGGTGGCTACATTCCACTGACGGCCATGTGAAAATCTGGGGTTCAGAACACCAGGCCATCACGTCTCATCTCCTGCTTCTGATG